TCTTGTCTGTATATGCAATCAGCCAGTATGCTGTGAAAAGCAGTTAGTCATCTTAAGAATCTATGTGTATCACCCCACAATCAATATGGTTAGCATAACACCAGAGCAATCACATAAACCACTATGTCAACATATACTGAATGATCATCTAGGGTACAGTCTATTTATTCAAAGAAGGTCTAGAGCAGTCTTGGCCTTATCTAACCCCCCACCCCCACATTTCCTCTTTCCCCTTTCATGCCTTTAATCTTTTAAAGAATTTCTATTTTCTCATTCTCTTAGTAACATTAAAAAAAAATGAGACAACCTTTTTTCTAAACAATGAGAGGGAGAGTAGATTCATAGCATTTAATTAGAGCTAATTTAAGAGGGTTTTCTTAGTCTTTAGTACAAAATCCCCCAAGGGAATAGTGACGCAATTGTTTGATGTCTTTCACTAGGTTGTCTCACCTTTGTAGTTCTTAGCTATGTCTGGGAAAAGAATCAGACAGGTGGGCTTGTCTTGATTCCCATGGAAGTGGTATTGTCCCGACAGTTTGATCTCAGTTCTGAAAATCAAGTTTTTCTGGCTCTGAGTTACTGACAAGTCTGTCTCTGGCTTTAAGGACAGCATTGCTTGGAGAGCTGTTTTCTTTGATGAGAATGTCAAACTAACACAGTGACCACATTGTAACATCTAGGCTTTTCCTCTCTTTATTAAAGCCAGAGGAAGAAAAAAGTAATCTAGTTTTCATGGGAACTATGAGAAATGAGAATTACCAAAAACATTTTGAAAGAAAACAGCTACTAAGAAAAAAATTTAATTGAAAAAGTAACAATGGTGGTCATCTAAGATGGATCTCTAATTCAATATGCCATATAAGAAAAATCATACTAGAAGATGAGGTTATCTTCTCATACATGACAGACCAAACCCAGAATGGTCATTGATGGGACTACAGGATTTTAAAAGGATCATATTTTCCTCACTATCACAAATTGTCTTCTGAGGTACTTTTTTAGCTCCTGAAATATAAAATGATAGCAATAGTAAGAATAAGAATAATAGTGTAGGAGAATAACTGTTGAGGCAGAACCTGAAATTTTCTAATGAGAGACTATGCATTTTAAAACCTGCAAATCCCTTCAGCTTCCACTAGTGGAAACATCAATTAGCTATTATAGGAAGAACCATTTTAATTAAGTACATATAAGGCAAACAGGAATCCTTTATTCTGGGTAAAAGAAAACAGGCTTTCTTTTTATCCACCCTCACCCCTAATCCCACCCCTTCATGACTGAAGCTGTTCTTCCCTGTATTCCATGGAATACAGAGTTCCATGGATTCTATGATGGCTATGGGCAAATTTCTAAGGTTATATTTGAAAAGTGATAGAAAACATTACCCTTGTTCCCTCTGAAATTGCAGGTTACTCAAACACCTCTACCTTACTGAGGCTTATGTAGCTGAAGTTAGCAGCTAAGGACACCATCAGTTGCACAGAGAAAACTTCCATGAAGAATAGATTCTGAAATAGAAAGCAAGGCCCTAGACTAACCTGGGTTGCTATAGGTACTGATTTGTTATACTGAAAACTTTCTCAAATCAGCTACGCTAACACAGTGGGTTTGCTACAGAACATAAAAATTATATGAGTGATACTGGGCTGATTGGCATTAAGGGTCCATTGTCTAATAGCACAGGACGACAAGGACTATGACTGGAAAAGCTGCTCTTCTCCCCACTTGCACAGAATTTCAGCAAGGCAAAAAGGGAAGTCAGCAATCTTTGCAACAGCCAAGACTACCCAGTGAGGGCAGAGTTTATAGACAACCAACCAATCAATTTCTTCTTGATAGGATCTGATTATAAACTCAACTAACTATAGGATCTGAGACAGCATCTGGGTTACTGGGCTCTTCCTGGATAGAGTTATTCTTATAAGACCAAGATGGATGCTCCAGATCATGTTAAACTGAATATATAAAGAAATATAGCATTATTTAGTTCCAGGGCTAATAACTACTGGTAAATTTGTGCAAACAGTACAAATTCACCTAAACTTTATTCAAAGCATACCATATGTCTGATGCTATGGCAAGCATTCTACATACATTAACATATCTTCACCATGTCTTATTCTTTAAAAAGACTTGCTTTAACAAAAAGTCACATATTTATTAAGAGGGAATCAAGGATTCAAACTCAATCTCTGTCCCTTGTAACACAATGCAGTTTATCAATATAGAAGAAATTACTATGTTCATATATGCCTACACAGCCAGTGTGATTCTCTATCATGTACAACCAGAAGAATCAGAAATTATACTCTATTTATGTATGATGTGTCCAAGTACATTCTACTATCATGTAAAACTAATCAGAACAAATAAATAAGAAAAAAAGTATATCAGAAATCTCAAATTTCAAATACTATTATGAAAATCTCTTAATAAATGAAATAATAATTAGTTGAAGCTCTGTTCATTGAGGGGTTAGTGACTTAAATCTTTTAAAACCAGCCCCACAAGGATATTAATTTATTAAAGAAAAATTTGAATGGAGTTCCATGTAAAATTACATGTTCAGAGGACAATTTCTAACAAATTATGAAGGTGCATCAGTCAGTAATGTTAATACATTAACATTTGATCTTTCTATATGTTTTATGGTGTATAGCCCATCCTTACATGCCTTAATTGCTCTCAACAGATGGTCTTATAGGCCTAGAAATCTGAACAGAATTAAAATTTAATTTGCCAACTTGAAAATATTTACTTTTAGAAAAGCACATTTTGAAAATATTAGCAAAAATGCCACTTTCACATCCTGATTTTCCCTCTTCTATTGTTGGTCCCATTCAAGCTTTAAACCCCTTTACTTCATTTTTATAGTAAGTAAGTCACCAAGGGCTGTGACTATTCATTTATTTACTGATTTTATTATTCCACATTCCTTTTTCAATATTTATTTTTTTTAGTTATAATTGGACATAATATCTTTATTTTATTTTTATTTTTATGTGCTGAGGATGGAACCCAGAGCCTCACGTATGCTAGGCGAGCACACTAGGCAAGCACTCTACCTCTGAGCCACAACCCAGCCCATACTTATTCCACGTTCTTAAGGAGGTTTTTCATTTTGGATTAAATTTCTTCCACTATGAAGTCTACCAATGATCATTTCCACACAATATTCCAAGCCTCTGTATCAGCCTGCCTATAATTGAGTCTTACCTTTTCTGATCTATCCCATTCAATCCTTGACTGACTTCTCCAAAACACTGTTTGGTGTACATCAATTTTAACAAGACTCTTTGACTATTCAAGAATACAGATGCTCCTCAGCGTATGCACTACATCCCAATAAACCCATCAGAAGTTGAAAATATCTTAAGTGGAAAATGCATCTTATCTATCAAATATAGCTCACTCTAGGACACTTTGGCAAGTGAAGACTGTACCATACAAAGGTTCATCCATAAGAGTAGAAGAGAAATCCTTTCCAATAGATGCATAAAATCCAACACATGAATACAAAAAATATGAAAAAGCAAGGTAACACAGCACCTTCTAAAGTTCATAATTTGTCAGCAAATGACCCCCTATATATTGAAGTGGATGAAATATCAGATAAAGAATTCAAAAGAATGATTATTAAAATGCTTCCTCAATTCTAAGAGAACACAAAAATAACTGAATTAATGAAGGAGATCAATACAGAATATGAATGAGAAATTCAATAAGGAGGTAGAAACATTTAAAAAAACAGAAATCTTGGAAATAAAAGACACAATAAATCAAATAAAATGTTCAGTTGATGTTTGTCTAATAGAGTAGACTATGCTAAAAACACAGCTGGAAGATGAAATGTCCAGCCTTGAACATCAGATAATATTAAAGAAAAAAAAAGTAACCACGATTAGACTATACAAGAACTCTGAAACAACATGAAGAGACCAAATGTAAGAATCAATGGAATTAAGGAGGGCTCTAAGATATGCAACAGAGTTTATCCATTTCACATGGACAAACTTTTCAGGGAAATAGTAACAGAAAAAATATCAAATGTTCAGAATGAAATGGATATTCAGATACAGGAGTCATTCAGAACCCCAAATAGACAAGATCAAAAAAGAACTTCTCAACAATATATTAATAATCCAAATGCCTAACATACAGAACAAAGAATTTTAAAAGCCTCAAGAGAAAATAAGTGAGGTTACACTTAGTGGCACATCAATCAGATATGCACAAACTCTACAAGCCAGAAGGGCTTGAAGCGATGTGTTCCAAGTCCTAAAAGAAACTGTCAACCAAGGTGTTATATCTAGCAAAGCTATCATTCAAAATTGAATATGAAATAAAAACCTTCCAAGAAGAGCAGAAACTAATAGCATTCATAACTATTAAACTGGCACTGCAGAACTTCCATAAAGAAGTATTGCAACTAGAAAAAATATGCACATAGAAGAAATAAAAAACAAACCTCAGAGCTCACAAAAGAACAAATCTCATTTAAAAAGTAGCTAAGCAAATAAGAAACAGGACCAAACTAAACAAATAAATAAGTCAAAATGGCAGGAACTAATGAACATCACGCTGTAACAATGAATGTAAATGGTCTCAACTCTCCAATTAAAAGACATAGGCTGGCAGAATGGATTAAAAAGCAAGACCAATTATATGTTGTTTGGAAGAGATGCACCTTGTAAAAACAGCCACAGGCTGAAAGTAAAAGGATGGAAATTGATATACCATGTGAATGGAAGCTGAAAACAAACAGGAGTACCTACTCTCATATCTAACAAAGCAGATTTCACATCAAAATTAATCAGAAGAGACAAGGAAGTTCACTTAATATTAGTAAAGGGAACAATCCAACAAGTATATTCCAACAACAACAATAATTAATATTTATGCCCCCAAAATGGGTACATCAAATTATATAAAAGAGACACTACTCAATTTGAAGCCCCAGATAGACCCCAGAAAAATAATACTGGGTGGTTTCAACATACCTCTCCCACCATTAGATAGGTCATCCAGTCATAAACTCCATAGACTCTTTGGACCTGAAAAATATTAAAAATCAAATGGAACTAACAGATATCTATAGACAATTCCATCCACCAACAGCTGAATACACTTTTCTTCTCAGTGGCTCATGAAATCTTTTCCAAAATAGACTATATTTTAGGCCATGAAGTAACTCTCAGCAAATATAAAAACCTCTGATATAATTCCTTCCTTATCAGATTATAATGGAATTAAATTAAAAATCAGCATGACAAAACCCTAAAGAAACTATATAAACACATGAAGATTAATCAATATTCTTTAGAATAATGAATGGTGATATTAGAAATCAAGGGAGAAATTACAAAATTCTTATACTTAAATAAGAATACTGATAAAATATATCAGAACCAATTATCAAGAATACAAGTAATAATAAGTACTGGTGAGGATGTGGGGGGAAAAGGTACATACATACATTTTTTTGTGAGAGTGAAAATTAGTACCTTTTTGGAAAACAGTGTAGAGATTCTACAAAAAAGTAGGAATATAATCACCATATGACTGAGTTATCCCAATCCTCAGTATTTATCTAAAAGAACTAAAATCAACATACTATAGCCATACAGCCACATCAGTGTTTATACCAACACAATTCACAATATCCAAGTTATGGAACCAGTCCAGATGCCCACAAACAGATTAAAGGATAAAGAAAATGTGACATATATACACAGTGGAGTTTTTTTCACTCTATCATAAAGAAGAATGAAATAATGTCATCTGCCAGTAAGTGGATGGAAATGGAGAAAATCATGCTAAGTGAAATAAGGCAGACTCAGAAAATCCAGGGTTAAATGTTTTCTTTCATATGTGGAAGCTAGGGCAAAATAAGGGAAAGAAAGCAGTGGAGGGAGGGAATCATATATCATAAAGGTATAGGGAAGATAAGTGGAGTAAAATATAAAAATGAGAGGAAGGAATTAAAGAAGAGAAATGGAAAGAAATATAAATGAATCTAACAGATTCACATTATATACATATATAAATATACCAAAGGGGAATTTCACTTTTATGTACATGTAAAAAACACCAATAAAAATAAATAAAGCAAAAAAAGGAAGATTAGTAGACTAGGGGAGGGGGAGAAAAGTAGGAGGGAGGAAGGGAGGAAGAGGGTCAGGGAATTTGAAATCAAATCGTTTGTATGTATAATTTTCTCAAAAAAGAACCTAAATAGTATGTATAATTATAACGCTCTAATTTTTAAAAGTTTACTTAGAAACATAAAAAAGAGATAGGCCATCCTAAATATCAGACATTAAAATCACTTATTTGGCACAAAATTATGTTCCATATATTTCAACAAGAATGTAGAAGTTTGAGAGTAGGAACTACATATGTTGTCAATACCTTATGCTATTTCTTGTTACATACATACTGATATTCACATTATGAGTATAAATTTTATATTATATATAAATATACTACATATAAATATTCATATTTCTGCTTCATAAAATTTCAATGAACTTATTTTGGTAAATCCATCCTTTATGAGGATTTGCTTCCATGGCTCTAAAATAAATAGTGTGATAGCAGCAGAATGCAACCAGTCAGGCCAAATTTAGTTTCTACTTTTATTCTTACTTAACAAAAGTTTCTTTTATCCCACAGAGCTCTAAGGTAAGTTACCTGTCTACAGGCTAAATCAGTTCTGTTCTTCATCATATACAGCCTATAACTGGCATAAGCATTCAGTGTCAATTGATATACTAAGTGTCACCATCTGAATTTTTGACTCAAGATAGATTTTACAGCTTCTACAAAAAAAAAAAAAAGACTCTTTGATGACATCCAGTGACATCCTTTAAGCTGACAAATCACTTCCTTGTTTTCCCTGGAATCTCCCACACCTAGCCCATTAGCAAGTAGCAGCTAAGGGATGCTGAAAATTGAAGCAAAAAATGAGAATCAATGTCAACCATTTGAATATTGAAAGGTCTTAGGTTAAATGGATTTCTAAATTAGCCATTTTAAGACAGATACAGAATTCTGCTTTTAAAATAAAAAAGCTAAATCCCATACCTTTGCTGTGTGGTAGATTTCAATATTAGGAAGAAATTTTATTTATAGGTCAGATGGTGGCTACTTTCCTCTCCCTAAATGGGTTAAAATCTTTAACTTCATACAATTAAGTATTATTGATATGAATTTTGCCATGTCAGGTTAAATGAACACTAGCAAGGGTCCCACAACCAAGACACAGACTTGGGGAAATGCTGTGGACTACAATTCTGGCTAATAGTCCATTTCTCTAGATCTTCTTGGGAAATAATTATTCCTATGAAGAGACAGAACCTCAGCTGACAAAACTGGCTTGGTTTCTGACATTTTAGCCTTTTGGGGATTCTTCTGGGCCCTAAGGAAACAGAGGGATGTGGGGAAAAAAACAATAAGTAACATTGGAGTGCTAGTTATTCTACTTTGAAAGAATTTGCACAAAAGGATATCCATAAAATAGAAGAGGGGTACTTTACCCACTCCAGTTCACTACAGAATACCTCCAGTTTCAATGACGGTAAAAGTCCCCCACAGAAGAAGCAGTGGTGCTGGAGAGATCTACTTGGTGAAAACAGCAGCAACACCTATAAATGCACCAATACAGTACGTGATCTGTTGTGTTCATGAACACAGGGCAGTCACCCTTGTCTTCTCAGAAAGAATAAGTAAAGGTGGTCAGAGGGCTGGATTCTGGCAGTCAGTGAGATATGGTAGAACTATCAAAATGACCTTCCTTTTACCAGATACAACTAATGTTTACTGGACATGCTACTGTTTTTACTTACTAGTTTATTTGATCCTCAAGTCGATTATTTAAGGCAGGTACTAATATGGTTCATTTTATAGACAAGAAACCTGAATTTTAAGGAGCCAAAGTAATTGGCCCTAAGGCTAGGAGCTGATCCAGTGATGGGAAATTTGAACCCAAGCTAGAATGTTCCAAAGTATGATAAATAACCATAAATTATATAGGCTAGTTGCTTGGCTTGAACTACAGAAGAAACTAGAAGAACTTATTATAAAAGATAAATACAAAATCTTATTCCAGTAAAGGTCAGAATTGATGAGTGTTTAACGTTTACTACAGCTAGGTGAGGATCACCAAGACTCTACTCTATAAAATGAGCCAAAGAATCTCCAAAATCTAGCAAAGGGACATCCCCAGGCAGCAGCCTGACACCCAGCCAAACAGAGTAAGGTCCTATACCTACAGAACTCCTGAAAACTTCTCTAGCTGCAGCCACACTGTCTTTGAGATTTCATGCAAGTGCTCACAGAGGTTAGTTATCACATTTGGACAGTTCTTGGACCCTTGGTTTAGACAGAGGAGGAGAAAGACAATATCCTACTCTTCATGTTGAGAATTGGGACTGCTCATTATTGAACCTTTGATAGGGTAGGCTTTAGGAGACTTGAATTTTTCCTCATTCTTCCTGGAAATTCATTTCCTCATGTTGGGTATCAGTTTCTTCTGTTATAAAATTCAAGATTTGAAACAGCTTACCTCTGAATTTTCTGTTTGACAAAAGAAGACTAAATTAGAAATTTGGGGAAACAGCTTGA